ACCAGATAGGCAGGTGTACAAGTCTATAGTCTCTCCTCAAATTGAAAGCTGAAGTTTCCTTTCCGACTTCAATCTGTGCATAGTGAAATTTAAAGTGGATTCAACCAAAAATAATGATTGATTTTTACATCAGAGATGTCCGAGTCTAGGTGTAACACCGTCTATAGCAAGGCTGTTTACCAATTGGATAACATAAAAGTAACTCTAGCATGTGCTTACTATTGGCCATTCACAACTTGAAGGCTCCTCCGTCATGTGCCGAGTTTCTCAGATGCTACTGTGCTGTAGTGCTTTGCTAGTAAGAGGATGTCGTCTGCCAGTTGAGCCACGGTGCTGTAACGACACTTGCGCAGAGAGAACATGTCCCTGGCAAACCCCAGCACTTGATCCTGGAACGGAAAAATGAAAAGTTACGCTGCCAAAAGGCGATTAATTTGGCAAAGGTCAGCTTTTGTAGACCGGATCAAACTACCCCTAAACCTCTCTGCATCCGTGCAAGTCAGTATTAATTGCCAGTTGGATACGAGTCTCGAGCTCTTACCTTAAAGAATTCCATCATGTGCTTGAGATGGTGGTCTGAGCCTAAGAACCCCCAGGCCAATGCTGGTGTTACATAGTAGGAGATCTGGTACACCTTGGACAAGAAACCTTGAGGATTCTACAATGGATACAAAACGACAGCTGAATATACACTGTGAAAAAATGCCATGTCAAACAAAATAAAATTCACTCATTTCATGCTTCACATTGTAACGCCAAACTCAATCCAAGTCACAGATCTCAAACTTCCAAGCCTTTTCTTGTATGTCAATTTATCTATATTGAAACTTCTTAATCTGAAACTCTATTATGCAGTGAAATTTGGTATTTAAAACCATTATTCCAAAAAATATCATGAAACAAATTACATAGAGAAACTGAGACTAGGTGCTTTAATAAAATGATTATAAAGATGAACAAAGAAATTGACTGGAGCGGGATTTGAACTGCGGCCTGCGGAACACCGTACCAGTGCTCTACCAACTCAGCTATCCAGCCCTACGTTGGTGGCTCTTCCCATTTGTTAATATCTCTGTTCGGGGGGCACTAGCCAGAAGCCATTAAACCTGAAACACCATGCAGCCAGGGATCATGCCCCAATAACAATACAACCTGGGAAGTGGTGAACAAGATCACTTGGAGAGGATGCAGCTTTTTGAACATAAATCATGAAAGAAATGACATTGGGAAACTGGCCAGGTGCTTCGCAAATAAAATATCATTTAGTTAAAAGAATGACAGTGTTAAGTAACACTTCTGTTGACAAAGTAAAACAAAAATCACAGGCTACTTCAAGCCATTATCTGACACATTTTGTACAAAACCAGCTGAAATACTTCCTGAAACAATTCCGCTCCTACCTGAAGCATTCTTCGTTTTGCTGCCAAGACTGACCAAACAGCTGTAGACACAGCCTGCAAAAGATTGACGTTACAAATACAAACACAAGTTATAATTTAACCTGGGTACATTAAAAGTCTTCCAATGTCAAAGTCTTTCTACTTCACGTAAGACTGCCACAGGTTTGTTTTCTAATTGTGAATGTGTGGTTTGGAGACGTACCGATTCTTTGACTCTGTTTGACAGCCATCGGTTCTGGGTGACGCACGTGACGGACATTGGCGGATCATCCAGATCATCAAACGCATCCAAGAGGAGGAAATCCAAGACAATGTCATAGAAGGACAAGAACCGAACCTGAAAAATGATACAAACGATGTCTTAACCACTTCCTGCTGGGTGGGATTTGCATATTTGGGACGAGTTTCCGGGCAATTTTCAAGATTTTCCGTTTTCAAAATTCTTCAAAAAACTTCATTTACTGGACGCTTACACCCACACGAATAACTGTCTGGTGGCTACTCTAACCTGACAGGTAACATCCATTGACGCCCAGGTATTACAACCAGGTCTACCACCCAGTAAAGAGAGCTGTATCACTCATCACTGGAGTGCTGGAGCACTTTTGTCCCCGCTGATAATCTGCAGGTGCTGAATGCCACAAACAGTGATGTACTGTTTCAAAACAATGACGGATTACCTCCGCTAATGCCAGCACTCTGTGCTGAAAATGTTGGCAATTCGGCAGCTCGGTCTTTTGTTCTACGTACGGTCTTTTGTTACAAGGCCCAGCTCCTTTGATTTCGGGCACCCCTGGCTATACATACACACCCAAGGTCCTGGTACTGGGGTCCTGGTACTGGGAACCCCGGCACTGAGTGGTTAAGGACTAAGAGAAAAATAAGATACAAAGGCACATTTTTTTGCAGTGCATGTCATGTACCTGTTTTTTACACCCTTCCTGTGTGATTTCTGTGGGGCTTTATACATCAGTTCTTTTAAATGCCACCATCTGAGTGACAACTTCAGGGATGTGAGAATTCAGCTTTTTTGTTTAGATGTTGACTCTGAATTTGAGCTTTTTTGTACACCATGTCGGAACTTATGTATGGAAACTTTTTACATTTCAGCTTTTAGCTCTATTTTCAGCTTAAATTTTAAGTGACCACTCACACCCCTGCAACTTATAAAAACCAATTTCACTTCAGGATTACCAATATTAAGATTTCCATTTTCACCATTGCCAACTACATCATTTATTAAATATTACATATTAATTACATATTGAATCATTCCGAATTGTGCAGAACAAATTTGATGAGTTGGATACTTGAAGAATTGTTCAGAAAACTTGGTTTTGCCAAAAGTTTAGAGTTGGTTCCAACCTTTCTCGCCCGTAGTTCCTTCTCAATGTCCTTGTGGTTCTGAGGGTCCCTCACATAGGTCATCATCTCATCATATGCATCACCAAATTCTTCTGAATCCTACCAAAGTTCATTTTAAAAAAGGAAACAAACTGCAATTACTTTGGCACAGTTCTATGGTTTTTGATAGATTTTCAAAAATGTGTAATTAAAATTGAAACCCTTCGGTATGCTTAAAACTTTACAACATGAAGAGAAGCAAGACTCACATAATTAGCCTTGAGCAGAAGATCTGAAATCAACTGCTTGCCCATCGTGACGAACCAATCAGAGATAGTCTGGTCCTCTAGGAGCACTGCCATGGCAACACGTACACAGTGCAACTTGGCAAGGAAGTCCTCATCGCTACGGCAATGCAGCATCTTCGTCCTAATGAGGGCACAGAAAGTCCACAACGATTGTGGGACAAACTTGTACATATTGCTTAAATTTACAATCAGGTTTGGCAACGTTATGCAAGGGTAATCCGCCTCGACTACGGTCAACGGTTGAACAGAGCCAGGTGGTCCGCAGTACTCAATCGATCTTGTTTGGTGCAAGTATGCATGACTGACACGTCGCACTGCGACACTAGCATGCATGCCCGCCTTGCCTTCATGCTGAAGTACGTGTACTAGGTTTGAGCTCTTCAAAAACTTAAGTGCCCGTGCGTGCATTCTCAAGCTCCAGGCTATCTACCCAAGGTCTTTCATTCAACTTTGGAGAAGGTGAGAGAATGGCTGACCCATCATGTTCATGGTGAACGAAGCAAAAATGCACCATGTGTAGGTGTTCTCACAAAAAACCATTTCCCTTTGAAGTGGGCAATTGCCATTATGGGTCACCATGTTGGGAAGGTTGGATCATCGCTTAGAAGCAGCCTAGGCTTTAGTATTATTAAAGAGTTCCTATAGACCTAGTCTACCCCCAGAACTGTGGGGTCCGAAGTCCATCCTGCTTCCACGTTCGAAGCGGGGCGGACATCAGACCCAAAGTTTTGAAGGTACAGTACTGCAGCCATGGCCTAAGTTCCGTGATATAGGCCTACGGCCACCAGTTTCTACCCCTCTCACTGCTTCCAACAAAGTTATTAATACCAGTATGCAAAAAGACTTACGTATAATGGATGAGAGTGTGAATTTGTTTGCATTTAAATTATTGTAATTTTTTAGTTTTCCAACTTTGCTGGAAATGTAAAGAGCAAAAAGTAACACAATGGAAGTTGTGTTTACTTGTCAATAGTTTTGATTGATAAGTTATATTTAATAATTAATTCCTGGGACTTTTTCCCTTGCCTTTTCTCAAAATAAAATTAAACCCAGCCTGAAAGCATGCCTGTCTGCTTCTTTCAGCCTCTGATAAGACTTACTGACAACACCACCTCATAAGGACAGTTGGAAATCCTGTGCTGCGGTATCACTCTGCCCTTTATTGTGGTTTCCCCTCTTGCACAAATTTTGTGACATTGAAAACACGTTTTAACTCAGATAGCAACTTTCCCTTCCGCAGTTCCTCCACTTTGTTGTTTTCATATTTTATTTCACAAAATCCGCAATGTATTTCTCGCGCCATGTTTATTTACGTTCTGTCTCATTAATTCAATCGTCAAAAGTTTTTAGCTCCTCCCAAACTCAATATTCAAGAGTCTAGTTTCTGCCTCGATGTTACCAGAAGCTTTTGTGTGCAAAAAACGTTCGGGAACAGTCTCTTTGCATTACCTGGTATACCGTGCGATAAATCAGTGATGAAACACCTTCGTTAACCAGCAAAATGGAGTGAGTGCCTTAAGCGGAGTCATGGTATCTACAAGTGCGCCCTCTCTTGGTCAAGCTCGAGGCCCATAACCAAATAAAGGTACTTCTTGGGTTTGACAGATTTTGATCCATCGTCGTCATTTGTTTCACAACTGTATTCCTGACAGTAATCTTTCTCACAATTCTTCCTTCCAATTTCTCATGAATCTTAAGCACTGAAGCCAACTTCATAACAGCCAACAAGAATGTTGCAAGAACAGCATATCTTCTCTGATAAGATTTTATTTCAGACATTGCTATGAGTACAAGGGAATGTTTCATAGCAAGCCGACGGTGTCACTGTGAGTATTTCTGTCAATCAGACTGGCGACTGTGAAACAAACACAACGTGAAATTGATACAAAGAGAGATAGCTCGGAGTTCATACCTTATCCTTCGACACTCTACTGCTCCTTCCCTGACTGCTAATAGAGCATTCTCATACATTTCATTTCTAAGTCTGGGTTTGCTGCTACTTGCGGAAGTTGCTTCTGATGAGGTGCTCTGTTGTTCTAACTCCTCTAGCTATGGACGAACAAACACCAGTCACAGTGACGAGCAAGAGCATAAATTTTGCAGAGCAGTAGGTTGTGGTTTGAATCCTACCTGAATAAGCCTGTGAATGTTTATGCAAGCACTCAGACAAACGCTGAGTATGCAGTGTAATGACCATACGCTGGTGTAAGGTCAAACCCCGTCATTAAGAAATTAATTTCTCCCCAATGCAACGTACATCTTATAAGAGCATAATTTGTGCAAATTACATTTGAACCAAAATCCAAATTATTTTGTAAATCATCCAAAAACATTCCATAAGAAACCACTTTCAAAAATGTGACCTTTTACTTATGCCATCTACCCTCAAGTTTTATTTGACATGGAAACACTGGTCATCCAAATATTTAATTTTCAAGCATTATGGGCACATTTGGTACTTGATCCCATTGAAGGTAAGTTTATTTGAACGTTTTTCATCAACCTGTTCATATCTACTCCTTGATATTTTCAACACATTGCCCAATGGAAGTCCACTGTCGCTGTCCAGTGAACTTTTAAATGTTTAGAGGACTGATAAAAGTTTCCATGAACATTTACCGAACTAAAATAAATTCCAATTCTTGGTGTCAAGGCAGTGGGCAATTAATGAAAGCAGAAAAAAGATACTTGGACCATCCACCTGCCCAAAACAAATTATGTAAAAATGACCAAACTCGACAAATCGTATATCAATGCTACCTCTGTTGCTGAGACAAAAGATTCAGTGGATGACGTAGAGTGCTCGTCAGCCTCCCTCTGTCTCCTCATACTTGTGATTTCCTCGGCAATGTCTCTCATCTCGGAGGGTGTGAAGGCCAGATTGGGAATGCTGAGAGCGACATCTTCACATTCCTCCTGGAGGTGGTAGGCGCTAGACAAGAGCTTCTCCAAGGAACGTGTCAACTCCGATTTGCTGCTTTCCTGAAGAAAAAAAAAAAAAATTAAAATAGGAAGTAGACCAAAGCGATAATGTTTCTAAGAACAATTACAAACATATTACGCTTAGTAACACATGCTGACAATGAACACAGACAAATGCTTGAAGCTGCGATTACAAGTATGGGAATACTCATTGGTTGATCTATTCAGCGTTGCCATGTGATATTTGGACCAACTATAACCGTGACTACACAGGAAAACAGTGACATGCATGCACCTACTACAACATGCATTATGCTTGGAGCCAGTTTATGTGTTGCCCATACGCACAGTGGCAAAGGTTTTGAAAGTGTTCAGCAATTTCATTAGGGTGACACAACAAGGTGATAATTTCCCAAATCCATGCAGACCAGACAGCCTGGACACTGCCTGGACACTGCCTGGGGTGCTGGGGGTGCTTGCCACTGGGAAAAGATTGAAAAACAAAAAAAAAGGGAGGGGGGGGGAGAAGCAAACAATTTGAAACAAAAATCAAAGAAGATGAAATCACCAAATTGCTTGAAAACCCCTTGTAATTGGCTCCCTCTCACTATCAATGGTTTATCACTTTGTTGCTGTTGAGCACTTTGACTCCCTGGAAATTTTCTTCCCTAGGGACAAAGTGCTCCCCTTCCTTGACAACGTCTTTGCAAAACGGGATACTATTGATCAGTTATCTCTGCAAAAATGCACCAATTTCTATCCGAGTTTTTTCAACGGCAATAATCTCTCCTTACGACATCGTTCTCTTCCCTACTGTCTTCTTCTTCAATGTCTTGAACAACTCGAATGTCCACGGCATCCTCCCAGTAGGAGACTGCGTTATCAAACGCCTGCATTCCTGAAGACAAAGCAGAATGGGAATGACAAATTGGACCCAATCTGCAAATGAGGAATTTAAGTCGAAAAATCTTCAAAATGAAACAGCTCAAATAAAAAAGGAGAAGTCAAATTTAAGGGTCAAATCATATGGAAATGCTTTATATTGGCCAACGCACATATACACACAGTTGAATTTTGTTCAAATCTGCTGATTTTTTGTGCTTAGTTGTCTAAGTAGGCCCATAGATACAATGAAATAAAGAATGTAAAATAATGGCCTTCTTGAGTGCCGGGTCTTTCATCCCTTTTCTCCTCTTGGTTCCCTTCAGTGACAAAGCAAAACTGCTCACCAAGCTGGAAGAGTCTCTGTACAGACACTGATTCATTGGTCGGAGTCCTTTCTCCACTCTTGATGGACGCGGCGTCGCTGAGCAGAGAATTGACTGACCCGTGCAGGCTGTCATTGATGCTTGAGTGGGAGGCCCTGGAGGCAATGGCCGAGATGACGGACCTCCTGGATGTAGAGCGAGACAGACGAGACAACCTGGCAAAACCTTTGGGTGATTCGATCTGTGGTGTGATCAGGGCCCTTCGACTGGTCTGCCCCAGAGCTGAAACAAACAAGTATAATGATCATTCTGATATGTTTATTTCATTGGATTTTTCAACTGTTCAACACTGTAATGAAAATTTAGACTACAAGCAAAATCACGCTTGGAAATATTGATAAAATTGTTATTGTCATGAAATAACAAAGAATAAAATTAAACCAAGTAGTCTTTACAATCATGCTAATGATTTGACTGATCACTTACGTCCATTTGTATTAATTGTGACATGCTGGTTACTGAGTGGAACTGATTGGGGTTTCCGAATCCGTTGTTTCTTACCCCGCCTACGTCGTTTGAAGTAACTGGTTGCCAAAATCAGACCGGCCATAGCCGAAATACCAGCCAACAGAATCACCTTTGTCTTGGTGCTAAGCAACATGGCTGGGATTTGGGCAGTGACTGGTATCTCCAAACTGTAACAGGATTGACAAGAAAGTTAAAGAACAGTACATATGAGTGGTTTTCTCTTCAATAAATAACTATCCAGTTAAAACGCTTGCACAATTGACAGGAATAAACAAAATGTATCCCTATAAAATGAACTTCAGAGAGGTGGACAAACTTTATTACATCCTTCACACATTGCACAAGAACAAAAGAAAATTTAAACTTCACAAACAAATTCTAATATTCAATTTTAATTTGTCATATCTGGATCCTTGTCATACAGGCCCATAGATGTTATAACAAGACTCATCAGAATGAAGGTTTTGTTTTCCATTTGACACACAATATACTACATAACTATAATGATGTGAAGGTTAACGTTGAACTCCTGATGACCAGAGAACACTGTCCAAGACCCTCAGTCCACTGCTTCTTAGAATCTCACTTAATCATCACATGGGTGGCACTGAAACCTTTGCCTCAGTCTCCAGCTGATCCTGTCACTGGCAAATTTATACTGAACTATATTTTGTCAGACACATGTGCAGTAACCGTTTTTAGACTTAAGAAATTCTTAACCACTTCCTGCCGGCTGGATTTTTCTTGAGCGGGAGGAGATGATGGGACCTTTTCAAGATTTTCCGTTTTCAAAATTCTCCAAAAATTCATGTGTTCATTTACTTGATGTTTACATCCACACGAACAACTATCTGGTGGCTACTCTAATCTGACAGGCAACCTTCATTGACTCCCGAGTATTCAGCCCAGACCTGCAGCCCTGTAAAAGAGAGCCCAGAATTGTGAAGTGTTGCATAATTTCCTTTAATCCAGTGAATGCCAGTAGTGTCTTTTCATTCGCGGCTGGATTAGCGAGCAGCTGCGCTGTGTTGCTCATCAATGTTGCCCTGGAGCACTTTTGTCCGCGGTGCTAATCCGCGGGCGCGCTATGCCCAAAACAGTGGTATACTGTTTCAAAACAGTGTCCGATTACCTTCGAAAAATGGAAGTCAAAAAACGATGGTAATTCCCAGCAGCAGGTTCTTTGTTCCAAGTGCAGTCCTTTGTTACAGACCAGCTCTTTTGTCCGAAACCGGGCACCCCGGCTCTGCGTATAAATACACGGTGTCCAAAACCGGGCACCCCGGTGGGAAGTGGTTAACGTGACAAATCTTAGTCTGGTTCTGTACCACATAGTCATTGTGACTTCATATTTACCAGGTGGGAATCAGATTAAGTTACCATTTTGAACTTTTTCCCCTAAAAAATTCTCCAGAGCTATGAATCAGATAAAAAACAAAACTCTGTTATTAAGTGAGTCCGTGAGATTGAATGGGTGAAGGCAAAATGACTGGAAAATACCTGAACAACGTATTTTGTGAGTGTTAAATTTTAGGCTATTTTGTCTCAAAAATAAAGTGGCTAACTTAGCCTTTGAAAATAATTGGGTGGCTACTTCGCCTCAGAAAATAAATTAAAAAGTCTCCTTTGTGTGTGTTTTTTCTTCCCTTCCAAAATAAAGTAAACAAGTTTTTATATCAAAAGGAAAATAAATCGACCACCTGGGTACAAATAAAATAAGATATGAAATAAAACGCCATCGTTGTAGCTCACCAGAATATATTAGCTGTATACTACTGCCAAACAACCCGGTTCACCACAACGACGTACGCGAAGAAAAGGATGAAAATTAACAACCGGAATCACCCAGAACAAAGCACAGGAACTCGGAGAAGTGAAGTGACCGCTGCGACCATCAGAAATAAAGAGAGGGACGCGTGGCAGTAGGGGCTATTTCAAAAATTATTGGTGACGCGCTTCACCGCTCACGTTACATAATAAACAAAAAGGCAATGAAAGAAATTCGAGTTGGGGCTACTACAAGTGAAATCATTCAACAAATGGTGCTAAGAAAGGAGAGAGGTTAAGGATCATCTCTGTGTGCAAAAGAAATTGCACCCATAATGATAAGTGGGTGCGCTGAAAATTTTCAGTACGCCAACACGAAATTGCGTATACGGATGTGTGGCTAAGGATGGAGCGGGAGTGAGAGTCCGTGCCACACTAGTGGGGCTAGTACTTACTGTCAAGTGATGTAAAAGTATGGACCTCTTTTCAGTCCAAAATTACAACTTCGTTTGCTCTCAATTGCAGAATACCCCGCCGTCCCGCACCACATGATCAACCTCATAGTCATAGCCAGGTACGGGTCAAAGTGTCAAACTCTTCTCACAGGATTTTTCACCTTGTACCCATGCAAGCTGTCATTCCAGGGGTCGTTTTTTAGAGTGTCGGGGTATTCTGCAATACATGTACTCATTCATTTATCACTTTATCCCGAATTAGTTGCAGTTGCTGTTTACATGCTTGGCCAGCATGGCCAGTTGGATGGGTCATTGGTCAGGTTTCGAGT